ATGAATTTCACGAGAATTCATGAAGGGGAAATCTGCTTATTTTGTGACTCATTTTGACATTCGTGTAGTTCAAGCGCCGCAAATGGTGATTTTCTATATTTTTCGCCATTCCTTTTTGATCATTAACCATTCTTCACAATTTCTGAATTTTATGCTCGTGAATCTGACTAAACGAGTATTGAAGTCCACCAATTAAGAAGCGTGATATGCAGTAATCCCGCAGTCGCCTCTAACCGAACCCAACCTTCTCACTTCGAATGTGGAATCGATGTATAGCATAGTACAGTACAAGTTGAAATCGGAAATACTCAGTGCAAGAAGAACTGTCCGTGATTATGATGGAGAACGTTACAAGTAGCGTTCTTCTCGGTCCCAGTAGTTCGGGTAACGTGAACCAGTGTAATGACGGGTCCTTATCCCCCCCTCGTCCTCCTCCTGGACTTACTGAAATTTTCCTTTATTTTTTCCTCGCCCGAACTCCGCCTAATGCATTCCATCCAGCGGAGAGGAACCGAAGAAGAAGGGAGGGAGAGGTGGTAGACGATTGATCCTTGCGCCGTTTCCCTGGGAGGGAGTGTTGCCAGTGCCCGCGGGTGCGCGCACAGTGCCTCGAAGGTGGACAGCCTCAGCAACTGACTGACTGTCTTATTTATCTCTGTCCGTCGCTTCTCCCCGTTCCTGGGGCTCTGCTGCCCCCTAAAACCGTGCGGTCCACTTGCCTCTCTCTCGCCCCGAACCCCAGCCCGAGTCCGCCATCTTCCAAGGCTCGAAGGTGGTGCGGCGATTGCTTGGGACCGAGTCCATGTGTGTCTTGCCCCGTTTCGAGTTCGATGATGGCAGATATTTTCTTGTCCAGTGGAATCCTTGGGTGTGAACGGTTTTGCCGAATCGAAGTGCAACTGTCAGTGGACTGAATGTTGTTTTTCGAGCATTGTTCAATTCCGGACGATCGACCAAGAACCCTCACCGTCCCATCAGGAATGCTCGGTATAAATTAGATTTCGAACAAATTCACAAGTTACAAAGATTTTATTCATAATGTGCAAAGCGTGTTTAAGACGGGTTTAGATAAATATGGACGATTTTGGATCCAATGAAAAATTTTAATGAAGAAATCTTCATCTTGATGCGTGAAATATTCCGTGAATGGATTTTGTTGCCTTCTTATTCACATGTGATATTTTTCTCGGAACATCGTCTTTTTGTGTGCTTAACGGTTTCTTTCAACCTGTAAGTGATGTGTTTTCGTTATTCGTCAAAGACGTGTTCGATCTTGAATTGCGTGCATTTCTGCGAAGTTGTCGTAATTTTGCTCACGTCTGGGGTTTGTGAAATATGTTAGGGAATTCATCTGTTTCTCTTGGTAGAGATCCTCACTTCCTGACTGGTGTTATTTTTCATATCTGATACAGTTCTCAATGTTCAATCCATGTGATCGAATTCGTGATGGAAAGCTTGTAATGTTTAAACTTGGTGGGGTGCAACGAGGTACTGAAGAAATTTGTACGATGCTTCCGTTTCTCTTCACGCATTTGACGAAGATTGTCTGATGTTTCTAGTGCGTGACTGATCATGAGGGCAGTACTCACATGCAGTACTGTGATGGCGGGTGACCGAGCTTGTAAGCCGTGACCAACTTTGGGTAGGTTCATAGCTTCACGCTCAGAGGTTCCATGCCTTGATTAAGTTGAGTTAGGTCAATCCGGTTTTAAGGTAGTGATAAATCCAGAATGATATCAACAGCGTTTCAGCTGGAACACTTGACCTAAACGCGAACTTATCGGATTGAAAGGTGCTTTCAAGTTCAAAGTTCAATTTCATTGAACTCTGTTACAGTTGGACACAGATAACTCGAACGTTTTTTCAAGTCCATGTCTCAATTTCCTTATGGAAACAATCCCCCTGAAACCTCCATAACTCGAATTTTCTTTTCTCGGAAAGAGAATATCTAAAATTTTCAATTGTCGTGTTTCGACAGGAAGTGAAAGGCCAAGTTCAGCTTCCTGTCGACTCATTTTAAATTTTTAAAGAACAATTTAATGCCCAGAATATCACCAATGACAATTTCCCGTGATTCTTCTGTCTCTCCCCAACAAAAATGCTCGCTCCTTAAATCCTTATCGGAAACCTCCCTAACTTGATTTTTGTTGGTCCCTTGAAGCTTGACTTACAGAGGCTTGACTAATACGGTAGTATCTGATCTCTTAAGAACAGCGGGGAACAGCTGGTCTTTCAGTTTTAGGTCACATGCTGGAACAATTGCTTCTGTAGCAGGCCGGTCGCATTCTCTGTGACAGCTCTGATGAGGTGACTTCGTATTTTGGATTGCTTACGAGTGGTGGTTCTTCATGTCGTGATTCGATTTGAGTCGTGCTGCTGGAAGTTATTAGTGTCGAGGGGATGTTCCAAGAGAGGAACAGGGCGAAAGGAAAAGAGAGAAAGACAAAAAGCGTCGGATCTTGTTCGCAGAAGGAAGAAGGCACGACGGGTTTCCGGTGTGACTCGGAGGAAGTGCCGGGGATTTAGTGAGCGATCATGCGTCGGCGGCGAGTGTCGGGCGCCCCAGTGAGAACGTGACGAAAAAGTGCGTGAGCAGTGCTGTCATGGTGTCGTTGACGGAGTTCGTCGTCTGTTTCTGCGTGTTCCTTGACGCTACAGCGTCGACAGCGACTGAAGGTAAGGCTGAAACACGACCTGGGGTTTTTCGAAGGGGGGTGATGGCGTTGGGTGGGTCTCTTTTTCCTTTTTTTGTCTTCTGGATATACTCTTCTCCTTTTTTCCTTCTTCACATGTGTGTGTGTGTGTGTGTGCCCGCTGCTGTTCCTGACATTCCAAGTTTTCGCGAACTTGCGTGGAACTTCATTGCTGTGAAAAGTTCCGAGCTCGCAGCCCAACCGTTTCTTCTCTCGTTCGATCATGGGATCTTCTTTTCTTTGGGATTATTTCCTTGGCCTCCTGCATTTGACAGACGCTTTTAATTACTTTTCTTCGAGAGAGACTACCGGCGGGAAAATGAGATTTGTTCATCAGACTTCTCGAGTTGGTAGCGAATGAAAACGAAAAGTGCAGCGAACAAGCATGACCCTGGATGGTTAGACAATTAACTGCAGGAAAACGGAAGGACAAATACAATAACAGAGATTCTTTTGAAAGCAATAATTATTAGTCCGGAGTCTTTTCATTCGTTGTTGGTATTCTTGCTTTCTTGTTCTTCTAGTATTCGCTGTTTTCTAGTTAACAATCTAAACGCATTGTATCCTGCTGAAGAAAAAAAACAGAACGCAGGTTGGCAAGTTACAGAAAAGCAAAACTAAGCGAATACAGTACACAGAAGTAATATCGCTCGAATCCAATAGTAGGAAGTAACCTTGCCATTTGTTTCCATTTTTGTCGTTTTGGTACTTTCGATTTTGTGTTTTGTTCGTGAGATTTTTGTACTTGGGAACAGTTGAGCCTCCCGAAGTCGAATGTTCTTCAAGTCCCTGGATGAATTCCTTCGAGGAATCGGTGCCTAAAATAACCTCCCTAACTAATAGGCTTTCCTCCTCCTCAAAGTTTCCGGACTAGGAATTTTTTGGAGACCTTTTTAAACAGGAAAGAGAAAAGCAATGGTGTAACCCGATGCATTTTGAAAGGAAGTGAAAGATTAGTTGGGCAAATGAACCCTGTCCTCCAAGTTGAGCATCCTTCGAACTCATCCAAGAAACCATTTAAACCCCAGAATCACGCCGATTACAACTTCCTGTAATTCTTCCCCCCCCCCCCAAAGTTTTCTAACTTGAAATTTCCCTAATTCGATTTTCTTTATGGTCCCTTGAAGTTCTTTTTGGGCTTTTATGCTTGATTGAAAGCTCTTTTCGTGAGTGAGATCAAGACATGGTGTTTCAACTGTAATCTTTCGAAAGTAACGGTTTATGGATGTCACGGCATTCAAAAGCTGACCCTTCAAGCTGGGAAAAGAGGGCGTGCAAACGTGGGGTATAAAGATTGTTTATCATTTGGTCGATAAGCCTGGACATTCTCGTGGACATTGATCCACCTTGCCCGACCCATTTTCTTGCGAGAATAGCTCATGCACGCTAACCTGATGCTAATTCACGAGTGTCCCTCCTGTGGCCTGTTTGTCCAGGAGTCGGGTCAAATCCAGCAGCGAGTCACGCAACGGAAGGTTTACATCGGAAGACCTGCTGTTTATTCAGTGTGTATAATTTGAAAGGCTGGGAAACGCGGAAGTTGGTTTTCTTCTTGTCGATAACTTCCTGTTCAATTATTTTGATTTCGTTTTCGCATTCGCGTTGATTGCCGTGTTCGGTATTGCTGTGTATTTTTACTGTTTTTTTGTGTGCGTGTGTCATGATTTGAAATGAATCGTTATCTTCTTGACCTCGGAAGTGATGTTCGCTCGATTTCTGTGTTCCAGTTACGCTGTTGGATAGTACGACTGAGGACTCGCTGGACTGGATGCGTTATCCTTTCAGGCCAACTGCACCGACCCCTGGGGTAAGATTCACAATTTTGAATCATTTTCTGTGTAAATAATGAAAATACTGTATCAGCAGGAAATGGAGAATAATCGTGTCAGTTTCGAGGAAATACTGTAACAGAAAAATTCGTATTACTTTTTGGTGAAAGGATAGACCAGCTAGTTGTATGAAAAGTCAGCTCTTCAGCTAGGAAAATGGTTAATTGTTCAGTGACTCAGTGTGTACAATTTAGTATACCCAGGTAGACCTTGAGTGACCTGAAAACGCAAATTAGTGGCATCAATCGGAATACTAGTGAGAAATTCAAGGTGCTAGAAAAATTTCGCTGTTCAGATAATTCTGTTTTAAACAGCCCTTGAAATTACGGGACCAGAAGTCGTTATGCAGAGAAAATCGTGGTAGTCAAGGTCGTTGTAGAGATATTCCATCTTTATTGGAAATTCTGCGTTGTCAAAGTTTTTCGATTAGAATATTTCTGTGCAGTTGCTTTTTGTGTGTGAGAATTCACGAAGAAATTCCGGAATTCTGCAAGAATTTGCCTCCTTCCTGGTTATTATTTGCGAAGTTCGTGCTATTCCTGGCTCACATCGGGGTCGTGGTCGATTTTCCGAGCATATGTTTGTCCATCTTTGAAGGAATTTGCGCTTCGCCATATTCAGCGATTGTGTGCACAGGGATGTTTCTGGTTTTTGTGAGGAAACACGGCAGGGGTGGACGTTTGTCACTGTAGTTTGGCAAATGAATACCCACTCAGCATCTCGGTTGTCATTCGAAAAAAGAGAAAATTCTGGGTGTGTGTGTGTGTGTATAAGCGCATTAGTATCAATTTTTTTTCTTGTGAAATCGTGAGAGAACAGATGCACCCCCCAGGAAAGAAGGAAATGTGGATGCCATTGTGGGTGTTGTGGTTGCCAGCCGGTGTCCGAGAGAGAGGACCCGGGTTAGATGAATCAGCACGTTTGGGTTTCGTCGCCCCGGGGTATTATTCTCCCCCCGCGGGAACTCGGCTCCCGGGCCCAACGAGGCTGAGGGCGTCCCTGAGGTCGACCGGCGACGAAGAACCTCCTTATTACTTTTCGCTCCCCCCAATGGCTATCAACAGGACACTTCCTGAGGCCCCCACTTTCGCAGGGCTGTCCTGCGGACATGAAAGTTGCAACTAGCATTGCAAGTACTCTGAGTGTGTAGAGGCGCGCACCTTGAGTATTGTCTTTTTTATGATGATGCACCTAGGAGGGAACCCACACTCATTTCGAGCTTCAACCTGTGCGTGGATGACGTGAAAGAGCTGTGGAAATTCCCCGTAATTCCTAGTGATGTCTTCCTATTTGAAAAGGGTTAATTGCCCGCGACCCATTTTAGGAGACATCTTTTTATGTGAGCCCTTCAATGACTAGTATCGATAAAATGCCGGTTTGTGTTTTGTTAGTCCTGTACATGTAAGGTATGCAATTGAAGAATCATAATGTTGGATTCATGCTTTGATCCTCATATTTGAGTGAGTTGGTCAGGTTTGAGCGAACTTCGGATTTTAAGCATTGTATCGCAGGTGGATTCTCTGTACGATTTTTCGGTCCCATAGGCTTCTTTACAACAATATTCTCTCTTTAAAGAATTTGTTTCTAGCACCTTGAATATCGTTGTAGGGAGAATCCACCTGTTATAGTTACTTGTAAATCAAGAAGTCAAATTTATTTTTGAAAGCAAAAGCTTTTTGCTGGACTCGAAGTCTTCCGAATTTTAGGTTTCGAAAATTTTAGATAATTCTAGGATAAATTCTGTGTCTTCAAGGTTTTTTCGGGGGCAATATTTGATGAGAGATCTTACTTATACTGTATAGTTGAAGTGCAGTACCGTGAAGTAATATTTTTCTAGTTCAGTCGACTCGGGTTGACTCAGTGCAGAGAAGAAGTACCTTCGTCATTCCGGAAATTTATTTCGATGAGCGTGATGAAGGTTCCTGCAGTACTGCATTCCATTATACTGTTGGCTTGTTTCGAAGACCTTTCATCGAGATTCTGGTTCATGAATACGATGTAATCAACGAAACTCGTGTCAAAAGGAATTAAATTGTAAGTTCATTCATATTTTCCCTGGTTTTGCTGAGGATTAAACGAATGAGTGGTTTTAGAAGGAAGGCTCACAAAATCGGCACCATTCTTTGGACCCAACCAGGTAGAAATACTATTCGGAGAAGTGTCCCGGAAAAGGGCATAATACCTGTGAAAAGGGTGCTGGTCTCTTCGGGGCACGAAGGAATTCCTTGGCGAAAAGAGCCTCTCCTTTTTTTTGTGTGCCCCAGCGTCTCGAGCCCGGAAGTCGTTGTAGAGTCCCTTATACCGAGCTCTGGGGGCTTAAACCCACTCGCTTTTCTTTCTTCCCTTTTATTTCGGCACCGAAAAACTTCTGGGATTTTTCCTCTCCGAGTTTTTCTCTTTTGCCAGCGAAGCAGTTTTTCCGTATTCTCTCATGTGGCAATGAATGTTTGAATCCCCGGAGTATTTCCTTCCCGAGAACACGGGCGAGAAAGTATTCAAAATTTAACAGCATTTTTTTTGGATGAACCTGGAAAAATGATACTCAAAATTTAGAAACCAAGTTAAACTTTCGTTTTCGTGCGACGTTTAGGATATGAAGAAAAGCATGTTGACTTGATAGTAGTCGATAAGCAAGTTCTTCTCTGAAATGCTAAAGCACTCGAAATGTCTTGATAACAGTTTTCGTGTGAAGAATCACTTCAGAATATCGGCAGGAACCTATATTATCGAACGAGATTAGGAAAATTGTNNTTTTTTTCTTGTGAAATCGTGAGAGAACAGATGCACCCCCCAGGAAAGAAGGAAATGTGGATGCCATTGTGGGTGTTGTGGTTGCCAGCCGGTGTCCGAGAGAGAGGACCCGGGTTAGATGAATCAGCACGTTTGGGTTTCGTCGCCCCGGGGTATTATTCTCCCCCCGCGGGAACTCGGCTCCCGGGCCCAACGAGGCTGAGGGCGTCCCTGAGGTCGACCGGCGACGAAGATGGAGGAATAATGAAAAGCGAGGGGGGTTACCGATAGTTGTCCTGTGAAGGACTCCGGGGGTGAAAGCGTCCCGACAGGACGCCTGTACTTTCAACGTTGATCGTAACGTTCATGAGACTCACACATACGCGCACCTTGTGTATTGTCTTTTTTTTATGATGATGCACCTAGGAGGGAACCCACACTCATTTCAAGCTTCAACCTGTGTGTGGATGACGTGAAAGAGCTGTGGAAATTCCCCGTAATTCCTAGTGATGTCTTCCTATTTGAAAAGGGTTAATTGCCCACGACCCATTTTAGGAGACACCTTTTTATGTGAGCCCTTCAATGACTAGTATCGATAAAATGCCGGTTTGTGTTTGGTTATTCCTGTGCATGAAAGGTATGCAATTGAAGAATCATAATGTTGGATTTTAGCTTTGATCCTCATATTTAAGTGAGTTGGTCAAGTTTGGGCGAACTTGAGATTTTAAGCATTGTATCGCAGGGGGATTCTCTGTACAACGATTCTTCGGTCCCATAGGCTTCTTTACAACAATATTCTCTCTTTAACGAATTTTTTTCTGGCACCTTGAATATCGTTGTAGGGAGAATCCACCTGTTATAGTTACTTGTAAATCAAGAAGTCAAATTTATTTTTGAAAGCAGAAGCTTTTTGCCGGACTCAAAGTCTTCCGAATTTTAGGTTTCGAAAATTTTAGATAATTCTAGGATAAATTCTGTGTCTTCAAGGTTTTTTCGGGGGCAATATTTGATGAGAGATCTTATTTATACTGTATAGTTGAAGTGCAGTACCGTGAAGTAATATTTTGCTAGTTCAGTCGACTCGGGGTGACTTCAGTGCAGTGTAGTAGTACCTTCGTCATTCCGGAAATTTATTTCGATTAGCGTGATGAAGGTTCCTGCAGTACTGCATTCCATTATACTGTTGGCTTGTTTCGAAGACCTTTCATCGAGATTCTGGTTCATGAATACGATTTAATCAACGATACTCGTGTCAAAAGGAATTAAATTGAAAGTTTCTTTCAAATTTTCCCTTGTTTTGCTGAGGATTAAACGAAATCGTGGTTTTAGAAGGAAGGCTCACAAAATCGGCACCATTCTTTGGACCCAACCAGGTAGAAATACTATTCGGAGAAGTGTCCCGGAAAAGGGCATAATACCTGTGAAAAGGGTGCTGGTCTCTTCGGGGCACGAAGGAATTCCTTGGCGAAAAGAGCCTCTCCTTTTTTTTGTGTGCCCCAGCGTCTCGAGCCCGGAAGTCGTTGTAGAGTCCCTTATACCGAGCTCTGGGGGCTTAAACCCACTCGCTTTTCTTTCTTCCCTTTTATTTCGGCACCGAAAAACTTCTGGGATTTTTCCTCTCCGAGTTTTTCTCTTTTGCCAGCGAAGCAGTTTTTCCGTATTCTCTCATGTGGCAATGAATGTTTGAATCCCCGGAGTATTTCCTTCCCGAGAACACGGGCGAGAAAGTATTCAAAATTTAACAGCATTTTTTTTGGATGAACCTGGAAAAATGATACTCAAAATTTAGAAACCAAGTTAAACTTTCGTTTTCGTGCGACGTTTAGGATATGAAGAAAAGGTACAACTGAACTATCATCAGCTATTCGTTCAAGAAGAGACTTTACGATTTCGTGAGCTTTACAGAACTATTGTCAAAAGCACACTTCTTAGTGAAGTCTTAATCGGCAGGAACCTATATTATCGAATGAGATTAGGAAAATTGTACTTTCAAATTTTCAATCGAGAAGAGTGTATGTGAAAAGGAAAAAATCACAAATGGATTTTAGGCAAATTCAAGCCTGTTTTCTCATATATTTTTTGCGGTGCATTTCGAAGTATCGAAAGACGAACAATTACATAGACTAAAGAAATCTCAATGGTGCTTGATGTCAAGCAAAATGACATCTTTTTTCTAGGGTCTCAAATTGTTGAATTCCGCTTCATTTTTGAGATTTTTTCCGAGTTCTAACAGCTATTAGGAGGTGGTGTGACTTTTCAAACATTATTCACGAATTTGCTCGTATGATGGGGAATCTTTTTAATGCTTTTTTGTCTGTTCTCTTGCCGTTTTTCCGCCAAACTGAGCTGAAGTCGACTACCATGGAGGAACGGTTCGCGCCGAAAACCCGAAATTCAGTACCGAACGATTTGACGAAGAACTATCAATTTTATTATCCCCGTTATGAACGGGTTCATGTGTTCTTCTGAATGCCGAATTGATTCGATCTCCGCGGGGAAACGATTCAATTCTCACGAGTGGCTCGCGATCATGATTTAGCTGGGTGGGCGTTGACAGTTCGAGGCCCAACGGTGTCTGTTTTTTGTAGTTGTAAATTCAAATTTATGAAAAGTACAAAAATCTGTTCTCTCAAGGCCGCCCAGCCTTCCTTTTCGGACAATTCGAAAAAATTGCGAAGAAAATGTGGTCACTTGAATAATTTATCTCTTGAGGTGAACACCTATATTGAAACTCTGCGGGAATAGCAAAAGAAATTGTCCGAAATGATTCCGTACTTCATTCGTGAATGGATACCAACATTTTCGTCTGGAAGTAACTGTTCTGCATTGGTTCTAGTTTCGGTAGATTGTTACTGATGATTGCAATTGTGTTCAAATTCCGCGTTTCGCATTCCGAATTCTTTCTTTTTATTGGTTTCTCATGCGTGATCATGCTTTTTTGTCTGTGGAAGCACACCTCGATTTATCTTGTACCCTGTGGGGTTTTTTTTTCTTCGAAAAATTAAAGTTTTGAGTATATTTTTCTAAAATTTTTCAAATTCAAGAAAATTTTGAAACCTTGGCATTTACTTCTCCATTTCAATGTATTTTTGCTGGCATTTCGCAAAAAATGTATATTGTATCAAAGTAATGGCTTCCACAGTGACTTGTTCAACACTTCAGATGTGTGTGCTGTGTATATTACAACTTTATTGCAAGTACCGCCCTCAACAGCCTTGAAAGCAATCGGGAAGTCAGAAGCGAAATATTTTCTTCACGATGTTCACGTGTTGCTTTTAAAAAAAGCTTAATTCAAGGATACATTTTGACATCGAATCGTATTTATTTTTCCCTGCGCGATCCAACGTTTCGAGTTGCAGTATTGACCTTCGATGTTGAATAATTTCTTGTTCTCG